TCATCACGACAATCCCCAAAGCTGACGAAACGCTCTACGTGAAGCAGTACTCAGTACCCTGGATTTTGAAATTGCGTGACAATATCACGTCTGTTGAGGAAGCAGTAATGATAGCAACCTCTGGACCTTGGGTAGAGTTTGATCAAATTGGAGGCGAACTCGCTTCAAGCAGTCCAACAACAATTCGCGTCAGGCAAAACTGGCAGAACCATCAAGAGATTGAAAATTTACTCTTTCAATTCGAATCGATCATCCGAGGACGTGGGATGTTTCAAGGGACTCCCGCTGAGCTCAATATTCTCAAGTCGCTGCAAAAGCCAATTGAGTTGGAATCAACCACACTGACATTAGATGAGTCACTAAAGCTGATCTTAGGTCCAAACGAGATCAACTATTGGATTGATCGTCTTGAACTTGCCAACGAAGGTCTCGACCTTAAAGAGGAAGTAACTTTATCAGGAGGGAAAAAGTCAATCGCAGAGCATTTGCAAGAAGCAGTCACTTCACAAGGATTAGCTATGTTTATTGATGGTGAAGTGGTGAGAGTGACTTCATCATTTGCTGCCGAGGAATCAATGGTCATTCGTGTCTACGATGTTCGTGCACAGGTCCGTCAAGTTGGATCGGCGAGTGGTGTCCAAGACGTGATTCAGCGGACTGCTGGTACAGGAACATGGCAAGAAATCGATCAAGATGGAGGAGGCATTCATGCCGTTGGACCTTTACTGGCGATTACGCAACACCGCGATGGACATAAAAAGATTGTGGAATTACTGAAATGATTTAATTCAGCGTCATGTTTTCAAAGGGAATTACAAGTGTCGCATCTAGTCTATCGTGCTATTGTTCTTGCGTTAAATTTATGTTGTATATCGCTTGGCTACTCACAAGCCACTCCACCCCCTGCCACTCCAGTCGAAGCGGCGGCGATACAGCATGCGTTGTCAGCTGATGATTTCACTGCTCTGATCGACCAGGAAGCGGACCTCCTTTTCACCACGGGTAAGAAAGAAGAGGACGTCACCATTACCGGCTTTGCTCTGAAGAAATCCGGTGACCGTTTCAGCCTGATCAAGTACAAGACAGCCGATTCCCCTCGTGAGAAGCGACTCGCTTCGATGAAGCTGTTTCAACTGACCGTTGGCGAGAAGATATACACAGCGAATTATCTGCCATCTATCAAAGCTTCGGCACTACAAGATGTCGAAAAACTGCGAGAAGAAATCGAAGGACGACTTTCTGGTCAGGGAGAGCGACTCTGGCCGAAACTGACTCAAGAAGAGATGCAGAAGTTTGTCGCTGAGGAGAAAGAATTCCTGCAAACGGTGGGAGAGCATTTCCGGTCACTTCCCATGAATTTTTATGAGACCGAATATTTCCTGTTCTATACTGATTTCCCTCCGAATCAGGTCGCTCCCTATCTGGCGAATCTGGATAAGATGAATCAGGTGCTGGGACAGTCGTTTGGTTTTGCACCGGGAGAGAATGTCTGGCGGGGCAAAGCTGTCGTCGTGGCGTTTGTGGACAAAATTGCATTTCAGGAATTCGAACGGCAGTTCATGGACTATCCCGATACCGGAGCTGCGCAAGGGCTTTGCCATTCTTTTTCAAGCGGTCGTGTTGTGGTGAGCTGTTACCGCGGCAACGATCCGTCCTTCTTTGCAGCTTTACTCGTGCACGAAACTTCACACGGTTACAACCACCGCTATTTTTCGACCGTCACGATTCCTTCCTGGATTAACGAAGGGCTCGCGGAATGGGTTGCCAGTAAGGCAGTCCCCCGTGAAGGGGAAATGAACCGTCGTCGAGGCGAAGCTGTGGCCCGCTTACGACAGACAGGAACCCTGGAAGGCCTGCTGAGCAACCGAGTCAGCGGTCACTGGCAATATGGAGCAGCACACTCTCTTGTAGACTTGCTGATTCGAGAGAACCCGCAACAGTTCCGTCTCTTTTTCAATGGAATCAAACATGGACTCCCCTGGGAGGACAGTCTGGTCCGTGCCTACGGAGCAACCCCAGCAGATCTCGTGCGGCTCTATGGGCGCTCCATCGGCGTACCGAATCTGGGACCGTGAATCAGACAAGCCTACCATGTTCTATGTCCATCTAAATGGGACGAAGAACAACACAGCTTACATACACAAGCCATCGATAAGGGCAAAGAGTCCGCGATCAATTGCTCGTTGCAAGCAATCGATTTGAGAAGTACCCGTTTAGATGAAACTGCTCTGTGATCGTCTTAGTCGATGGGACGAACAACAGAGGCACGTGTTCCTTTGGGACCATCTTCAGATTCGAATTCGACTTCTTGACCTTCGAATAGCGATTCGAATGTCGCATCCTGAACTGAGGAGACATGGAAGAACAGGTCTTTGTTCTGACCATCGCCTGTGATGAAACCAAATCCTTTGTCGGACACAATCTTCTTAATTTTGCCGCGCTGCATTGCAGCCATTCCTTACTGAGAGTCACGAACTACAACAGAAGTCTGTGAAATCGAATTCTGACGAGAGTAGTCGTTAGAAATGCCGTGACTCGAACTTCAAACTTTACTTCAGATCATTTCCCAGTGAATGTTTGCCCGTTTTACTTAATAGATGTGATCAGGGAACAAAACAATATGTGAAATGAACTTCACACGAAGCTCAAAGTATACCTATCAAACTTGACTGTTCTATGATTTTTAGAAGAATTTTCAGAAAAGTCGCAAATTGTTCGCTGTGTAGATTTCAGGTGAAAAACGACTCAGATGGACTACTTGCAGGAATAGAATGGCAGTCATGTTTCACCCCCGAAAGTTTGCTAGACTCTTGTTGCTCTGAATTACTTTCAACTTGAATCGCCAATATTTGTACATGGAAGGTCATCGTAATCATGGGACGATTCCTGATTATCTCCCTCGTTCTCTTGTCCAGTTGCCAGGCTGAAGGACAAGTCAGTGGGCCTGTTCCAGATGCGGATCGAGCCTACCGATATCTCAAAGAAATCTGTGCGATTGGTCCCCGTATTTCCGGGACAGAGGGAATGGCGAAACAACAGGCCCTCATCGACAAGCATTTTTCAGACTTAGGGGCCGAGGTCCGCTACCAAGAGTTCGATGTGACTCATCCCGAGTTAGGAACTCCGGTCAGGATGAAAAACATAATCGTATCATGGCATCCTGAATCCAAAGAGAGAGTGCTGATCAGTTGCCATTACGATACGCGACCCTTCCCCGATCAGGAAGCTTTAGAAGTCAATCGCAGAAAGCCCTTTATCGGAGCCAACGATGGAGGGAGTGGTGTTGCTCTGTTAATGGAGATGGGACATCACATGTCGAAAGTGACACCGAAAAGAGGAGTTGATTTTATCTTCTTTGATGGTGAAGAACTGGTTTATGACAAAGACGACAAATACTTCTGGGGGTCAGAGTATTTTGCAACTCAATATCGAGACAATCCGCCACAGGGGTTTCGCTATTCACATGGCATCTTGCTCGACATGGTCGCTGATAGAAATTTGAACATCTACATCGAGAAGAACAGCAGAAAGTATGCTCCTCAGGTGACCAGTAGCGTCTGGTCAGTTGCGCGTCGCTTGCGTGTTCGTGAGTTCATCAACCGCAGCAAGTACGAAATTCGAGATGATCACATCCCGTTGAATGAAATCGCCAAGATACCGACGTGCGATATCATTGACTTTGACTATCCCTACTGGCACAAACGCAACGATGTACCCGCAGCCTGCTCCGGTCGCTCTATGGCCATCGTTGGACGTGTTGTTCTCGCCTGGTTAAATGAACAGTAATTGGTTGCAATAAAAAACGCTCCGGATCGTCGGAGCGTTTTTTAGAGATACTCAATTTTCAGTAATCTATCGCTGGCGACGAATTGACAAATGATCAGCCATGCCAGCGCCGATTTGTGTTGCCCACAACAGTGTTATGCGAACTGCTGATGACGAAGCACTCTGTCAATGACGGACGTTTTCTCATGTCCGGATCATGCAGCAGTTTGCTAACAGCTCTTAATAAACAGGCATGGGGTCCAGCATGGCATGCTGTGGGTAACCATAAGGGACAGCTGCCGTTGGAGCTCCGCCGACATATGCTCCGGGATAAGTTCCGCACTGCCCATTTGGACAACCACCAGCTGGTGCGTAGCCACCGTAGTTCGGAGTATAGCCAGCTCCATACCCACAAGGACTGCATCCGCCACCACCCCAGCAAGGGCGGCCGAACAGGCAACAGCCAGAGCTTGAAATCATCAGCGTGCAGGCAAGGAGTATTGCAAAACGTTTCATAGTGAAATCCTTTTCGGGAGAGTCGCGAAGTTGGAGGGCAACTTCTTCCGCAGCGAGAACGACGATCCGTTCCGACATGACGGAGTATTCTTGACGGGAATATTCGATAGGGGTGCCTTGAAACGATCTTTTTGTGAGTTGTTTCAGGCACAAGCGGACGATACGAGTGTGGCCTCAATCGATCAACGTGAACTTGAGAGAATCTGAAAATAGTTCAGTGGTTTTGAAAGAGTTGCAATCGCAGTGCTCAAATTCATCCATCAATCCTAACGCGGCCTGTGCGGCCGCAACCAAAACAGATCATCGAATTGAGGCCGCTGGACTAGGGGCAAGGGACGAGGGGCTAGAGTGAACAGTTTGAGGGCGAATATGAATCAACTCGAAACTAAATCCTAAATCCCGACTCCTAAGTACTTTACATTGCTCACTGAATACAAACGCACAGTGCGCAAAAGTGACAGCGTAAAACTTTAACGAAGGAACGCGGTTACTTGCTAAGCTTTCGTCCGAACGACAAATCGTACGATGAACATAACTCAATAGATGTAAATGAAATACGGAAAGTAAGTGACGCCGAAAGATACTAACTCTCAACATTGCGCATGAATTCGCGAAAAACCTTAAACTTTTATGTGACATTTCTTCGCAACTCTCGCCGGAGTTGATGATGCTCTCAATAGAGTGCCATCATGTGATACTCCTGCAATTCATTTCTAAAGATGGATGAAAAGATGATGCTCACTCGCTGTGCTTCGGTAAGACCATTGATCTTGTCCATTCTTGGGGCTGCCTTGTTTGTCGGAATACCAACAGACTTGCAGGCGCAAAAGCAGCAGGCAGGTGCGGACGATCAACAAGTGACCTGGGATCTTGATCGTGCTCTCGAGCATCTGACGATGTACCCGAACGATACGTATCTGCAATACGTTGCGATGCAACTGGCTCGCCGTCAGGGAATCGAAAAAGAGATTGGGCGAAAAATTGCAGAGATCACCAATTCAGCTCGGCCTGAGTGGAGACGACGTCAAGATGGTGTCAACCTTTTCAGCTTGTTCACCGGGACGCTGGCGATTCAGGAAAGTCTCCAGTTGGAAGCGATGGCAGGTGGGCCGGTCAATTCTCGACTAGGTCGCAATAATCAAACTTCTCAGCTGACAAACAAGTCATCTGCAACAGTTGCGGTTGAAACTCTGCAAGGGCCTCAAACGAAAAGCCATCCCTGGCAGGAGATGCTGGCTGGTCGTGAGCCAAAGACAAGCCAGTTAGCCAAATACATCCCGGAGGATCAATATTACATCCGCTTCCAGTCAGTGGACAAACTCTTACAGGTGTTGCAGCTGAGTGATCAATGGGGCGAGCACTTGATTAGCCAGACTGCCAGAAAAGCCTACTCATCTCAGGTGAACCAACGGTTGATGCGGCAACTCGCTGTCGAAACAAATGAATTGTTGCAGCCGTTTTATGATCTCGTTGTGACAGAACTCGCTGCCACGGGAAATGATCTCTATCTGACACGCGGAAGTGACATCACATTGTTGTTCCGCTACCAGCAACCGCTTGTCTTCAAAACACAAATGGAGACGTTTCTCGCCAACGCAATTCAGGCGACTCCAGATGCGAAAAGATCACAGGGAGAATACCGCGGCATTGAATACGAGAGTGTGATCTCCCCTGACCGCAGACTTTCTGTGTACTCTGCCTATGTGGGAGATGATCTTCATTTGAGAAGTAATTCTCTGATCGGCTTGCAACGTGTGATCGACACTTTTGAGGGAGATCTCTCTCATCGTCGTCCCAACTTGGCAGACTCGGATGAATTCAAATACATCAGGACTTTGATGCCTTTGGGAGCAAAAGAAGAGGATGGACTGATCTACCTGTCCGATCCCTTCATCCGCCGGCTGACCGGACCCACTTTAAAATTGACCGAACGCCGCCGTGTGATCAGTTACAACCATCTCAAGATGATCGCTCATGCTTGTGCTCTTTTTGAGACAGAACATGGTCGCGTGCCGAAGAGTCTCGCTGAGCTGATTGAAGAACAAGCTCTGCCGGCGGAGTTTGGTTCGGAAGTCCTGCTTTGCCCATCTGGAGGAACATATTCATTGGGTGCCGATGGCAGAACAGGTGTTTCCTCACATTGTGGAACCGTCGCTGCTTTGAACCCATGTTGCGAAATCGCTGTCGAGAAGGTTTCAGAGGAAGAGGCGAAACTTTATCGGGAATTTGTGGAATCATACGAACGCTACTGGCGGACTTTCTTTGATCCGATCGCGATCCGAGTTTCTGTCGAACCAGATCAATTCCGCATGGAGACGATCATCCTGCCGTTGATCAATAACTCCATCTACCAGGGGATGGCAGCCACACTCGGCGAGGAACCAACTCCTATTGACGTCGCTCCCGTCCCCAAACGAAATATCTTCAGCATGGGTTTCCAGTTCGACAAGGAGCGGATGTTGAAGATGTCCGGTTGGGAGCCGATTGAAGACGATCCGGCTGATGAGTCTTCCTCGAAATTCTTACAAGAGGTCACTCAGCAAAGAATGAAGCAAGTCGCTCTGGCGATGCACAACTATCATGACGCCAATCAACATTTCCCTCCGCTGACAACACGTGACAAAAGCGGGAAAGAATTACTCAGCTGGCGGGTGCAATTGCTGCCGTATCTCGGTGAATCAGAACTGTATAAAGAGTTTCACCTCGACGAGCCTTGGAGTAGTGCCCACAACCGAAAGCTAATTGAGAAGATCCCTGCTGTCTTTACCATTCCTGGAGAAAAGAAGCAGGAAGGTCGCACCACATTACAGGCAGTGATAGGCGAACAGACTCTGTTCCCGCGCCGAGGAGAAGGAACCTCAATGCGATCGGTGACAGATGGAACCTCAAATACGATTATGTTCGTTGATACTCAAATTCCCGAAGCGACAATCTGGACGCGGCCAGACGATTTAAAGTTCGAGGATGAGAAACTCGCCGAAAAGATCGTCGGAAAATTTGAGGGCAATGGCTACATTGCCATGGGAGATGGGTCCGTCCGCCGACTCACCGCCGAGACCAGTTTGCAGAATCTCAGATTCGCTCTCACTAAAGCGGGAGGAGAAAATCGAGGACGGATTGGGGAAAGAATCAACAATCCTCGCCGCAATCGATCCGGGTTTGCCTACTGGTTAACAAATATACGCGATGGTCAAGTGAACCAGAAACTGGCCTATGAGTTCTACGCCCGTGGAATCAAGAACCAAATGGCATTTCATGTTTATGACTCAGAGCCAACATTTGATTTTCAACTCATCGAATTCTTGGGCCAAATGGTCGGCTCGTTCTCAACACGCAATAATTTTGACAGCGATTTTCTCCCGGTCTTTATGTTGATCGCGTCGTTGAACTCACCAGTCTACGCTTCGATTCCTCTGGAAGATGTAACCGCTGTCGACGATTTCATGACACATGTTGATGACCTGATGGCGCCTGTCGCCAGGCGTCCAATGCGGGCCGGTTGGTTTCAAACCCAGAATGATTTCTACAAACTTCCACTCAGCGAGGATGTCGTTGCTCGTACGAGCACCATCGGCATTGGGCCAATCAAATGGCGTTTCTTCTGGGCGCGGATCGAGAATTTCCTGTATGTCTCCAGCAAGCCGGAAGTGCTGCAAGACCTTGTTGAACTTCACAAGCAGGGAGTCCAGGGACCCTCCGATGAGAAGAGTTCAGCCCACGCGATGGTCCGTATTCGGCCTGAGAACTGGAATGAAACATTGTCGAACTTCCGACTCGGTTGGGCCGAAAGCCATCGACAAGCCTGTTTTGACAACATCGGTCGCCTCTCCAGCCTGCAGAGCTTGGCTCTGAAAAAGGGAGATAAGTTTGATGTCGAATCTCGCCCTGAATCGCTGTACGGCCTTGACTTCTATTGCCCCTGTGGAGGGAGTTACTTCATGGGAGAAGAACACATGGAATGCACGGTCCATGGCAGCGCTTATTCTCCCCGGCAGGCACTGTTAGGCCACGAGGAGGGAGCCATCGACGAAGTTCTCGATCACTTCGCGGGGCTCACAATCGTCCTCAAGTTCCTGGAAGACGGTCTGCACGCGACGATGACAGTCGAGCGTAAGTAACGATCATTCCACAAAACTTTTTAACTGAGGCACCGCCGTAGGATGTGTGAAGTGATCAGCGTAACGCATCATAATGGGCGTCCAAAGTGGTGTGTTACGCTCAGGCTTCACACACCCTACTTGCTGTACGTTACTCAATTCTTGTCAATCCAACTGTTCACTAGCGAATGAGGGATGCTCTGGGGCATTAGGTCGTATCACCTCACCACGATTGAGTCGAGAAGAACAGGCTCGGTGCCTTCCGAAGAACCGAGTTGCTGATGACAGTTGGTCCAGTAGTGGTTTAAAATCACGTGGCACGTGCGTTACGGTGGCTTCCTTGCCAGGACTTATCACAGTGAAGAGTCACAATTGTGACGCGAGGACGTCGTCTTTGAAACATCAAACTCGATGAAAAAAGTCGAACGTGAGCGTTTTTATTGGTTAAAACGTACAAGCGAGGGGACAAGAAGTATGAGAATGCTGTAAGACTGTCATCACATCCTAAATTCCAACTCCTTCGTTTCATTCTCATACAAAAAAAACGAACCTTGGTCTCTCTGCACCAATTTCCTGCAACGAATTGGCTAATCTACCGATCACCTTTCCAAACGACGACTGTTTTGGACATCATATCGTGCAATGCCTTCTTCTCTGGTGGAATGGCTGCGGTCAGGTAAGGAAGTCCGGCAGCGACGTCACAAATCACTCGCATGAGCCATTTCATGCTGGCTTGTTGCATTGTAAGTTGCTTCTTGTCTTCGGTCATCACGATCAAACCAAACGCTTCTTTTCCAATTGTGCTTTGTAGCTCAGACGATTCCTGCACTGACCAGTACATCCAGATGCAGTAAACCAGCCATAAGACAAACATGGGCAAAAAAGCAGCTTTCGCAAAGATGTATGCCAAAATCACAAAGCCAGTGAACACCCAGGCAATCTTTGAGAGTTTGGGGTTACTCGTCACCAGAAAAATGGCCAACAGAGAGCAAACCCCATCGATCTGGTGGGAAAGATAACGGACCCAAAAAGTCGCAGGCTCGTGTTCCTTCTTTTGTTCGACCAACTCCAAGGTCTGGGAGAAATAGTAGCCGAACATGCCGTTAGCTTTCATTACAAATATTCCCGGAAAGGCAGCCAGGAATCCTATCGGCGCGATAACAAGAAAAGCGGCCAGAATATTCAATGGAGCTCGGAACAAGGTGTACATCATCCCATCAGGATCCGAATCCATGCCAACGGTATCCAGAGCCCAGGTCGTGATGTTCCCTGTGATGCCGTTAATGACTGGACTGCCGAAGGGGTTCATTCCTCCCACGCCAGCATCACCCATAATCAGGAACAGTAATCCGCCTCCTACGGCAGCCACAGGGAGCAATGCGACAAATGCAATGATGTGCACATACATGATTCCTGCGAGATTCTGGAATAAGACCTGCAGCAATTCCCACAAAATCCAGCCTTTGTAGGTGTAGCGGGCCGTCATGTGGACCATTGCCATTGGCCACAGGAAGAGTGCAACGGAAAAAACGGCAGCGATGGCCCCCACAAAAATCGGATTCGTTGGGTCATCCTGGAAGTAAAAGTAGTACAGCACTCCCAGAAGAGGCGTTCCCGGAATCATAATGATCGGCCACGCTATGATACGAACTCCGGAGGCAATTGAAGTAAAGAGGTCGAACTGAATCCGATCCGACTGAAACTTCTCTCTCAGTCGTGTGTGCCGAATAATGATCAGGGACAAATGCCAGATTAAACCGGGCACAGAAAAGGCACACAGAGCCGTCATTCCGATCCAGAACACCTTGGGCGGCATCTGTTCTTGCACATAAACAAAGCCCATGTAACCACACATCAGGGCCAGTGTCGAGAAGAATGTAAATGCCGTCCCGACGCGCAGCGCCAGGCGAAGTTCACTCAGCATAAATTTCCAGCATTCACCCCAGACCATGCCATAGAACTTCGAAGAATCTGGACCTTTGCGAGAACGCTTCTTTTTCTCGCGACGGTCCATCTGTCCCGTCTCAACATTCATTCCACATTCGCGACAGACAACATCCTCTTCAAGATCCATTTCGGCTGCACAATAAGGGCAGATCGTGGCCTCTTCGTCTTCCATCGCGTAATCATCGAGATCACCAAGGCCCAGGGGGTCGTTGGCTGATGATTTCTGAGCTGGTTTCTTTTTTCGCTTGGCTGGCCCTGCTGACTTTCCACCCGGTTTCGATGATGGAACTTTGATCTTCTCGCTGCACTTGGGGCATTTAATTACCTTCCCTAATGCCTTGTCAGGAACATTAATGGCAGTTTCGCAGCTTTTACATCGAATCTTGGGCATAGACGGGCTCCAAGCGAGGTGGATCAGTCAGTACGTTCTGGAATGGCGTCCGCTCAATCGAATTCACAAATCTAAAAAAGTGCAAATGGATCTGTTCGGGTAGACACCGCAAGTTCAATCAATCTAACAACTTTGAGACAAAATGCACCTGAGGTTCCAGAAATCTGGGCCACCAGCAGGTCGGCGACAACGGTTTTAACAGCTGAAACAGCTATTGACCCGCTTCAGCCCCTTGGTCGAGACTGCTCATACACTCATTCAGCAACGGAACTGCTCAAATGAACAGACACCTTTACCTGGTCGTCATGTGGCTCTGCATGATTGGATATGGAAGAGATTCCGCCGCCCAATCGACGCAGGCAGCAAACGAATTCTCACGTGGCGTGATCGTCCTGACAGATGGTCGCGTCTTCTCGGGCGATATCAGTACCGTCGCTGGCGGTTATCGAGTCGATACCAACGGGACCTACGCCATTGTTCCGTTCGGTAAAGTCGATGTGACAGCGGAAACGCTTAATGAAGCCTACCTTGCCCTGCGGAACAGAATCTTAAAGCCGACAGCGAACGATCACCTTCGCCTCGCTGACTGGTGCTGGCGTAATCAATTAATTGGTCAGGCACGGACGGAAACGGTGAAGGCCCTCACCCTCGAACCGCTCAGACCGGAAGCTCGGGCGATGATGAAACAGATCGACGACAAGCTCAATCCTGAACGTGATGAGGTTCGACTACCCACGCAGGCTGCCATGACAATTGATGGCTTCTTAAGAGCAGAAGAACGACGCGCCAGCGGGCTCAGCCGGGAAGCTCAACAGAACTTCATTCGGCAGGTTCAACCTTTGTTGCTCAACAAATGTGGAAACGCCCACTGTCACGGCTCTGCCACCAAAACAGAATTTCAACTCCACCCGATTCAGCGCGGCTATTCAGGTCATCGCCTGCAAAGCGAAGAAAACTTACAACAGGTCATGAAATGGATCGACCGCGAGCAACCCGGTCGCAGCCAATTGTTACTGATCGATCCAGAACTCAGTCAAAGCCACAGCCGCCTGTTTGTCGGCTCTAAAGGAGAGATGCACCATCGCATCTTAAAAGAATGGATCATTGAACTGACTGGACGCCCACTAAACTCACCGCCGCAGCCACAGCAGCAGTCTGTGAAGATAAGCCCAATCATTCAACAAGTAGCGAACGAATCTTCACCGACTTCAGAGTCGAAACTGACTCAGACGAATCAAGTCGTGGATGCACCAATCTCCCAACAAAAGCCCGACCCCTTCGACCCAGAAATCTTCAATCGCCGAGTCCACGGTGCAACAGCGAGTCAGCTTGAGAAACAGCCAACAGAGGCTCTTCCAAAACAGGATGATCAGTAAGCATCAGCTGATGATGTACTGCGAGCAGCTGAAGATTCCCTCTGGTGTGGTGTGGGGTGGTGTGGTGTGGTGTGGTGTGGTGTGGTGTGGTGTGGTGTGCCACGCGCCGTTCACTTTGACGGCTGGTAGTCTCAGACCTCTACGGGCAGTCAGCCAGCGATAGATAGATGCTGGACTTGGTTTGCTGGGGAGTAGCTCGCCTAATAGCTGTTTTGCGGGCCGGAGAGTTGGGTCTGTCGCGCGAACAGAGGGAGCGACGGAGCTTGATGCAACTTGCATACTATCGATTTCAACGAGGGGGAATTCGTTTCCCAGCAAATAAGATCTCGCTCGTCGTGATCCGTGACCTATA